TGAGGGAATGAAGGACCAAAATGAAGGGGAGGATCCCAATTCGCCTGGATGTGTGCAATAATCGGCATAATCGGCTCTGCCGCCTTCATCCTATTTTTCTGCTTCACACTGCTGGCACTATGGTGCAACTGGTACAACCTAAGAGCTCCCACTCCCACCCAGCCGCCACCGCCACCGCCACCGCTACCATCGACAACCCATTTTGACATTGAAATGCCATCCAGGAGAATAGAGATGACTTCGCTCTCTTCCATTCGCATAGTTTCAGAAACACAGCTCATTGCTCTTCCTTCATACAATTACACCAAAGACATTGCTGGTTTGGTTTCTAAAACCTATGACCAAACTTGCGTTGTCTGCTTGTCTGATTTTGTCGATGGCGAACCGGTTCGGGTCCTGCCAGAGTGTTTGCACCCGTTTCATGTACCGTGCATCGATATGTGGCTATACTCTCACTCAAATTGTCCTGTCTGTCGCACCGATGTAACACCCGCCGAAACCAGATTTGCCTTGATGAGGAGCTTGCCACTGGATGGTGAGGCAGTATGATCCCATAAATATAGTACGGTTTCAATATTACCCAACTTTTTCATATTTATGATTCGTTTGAAAATTGAATTTTTAATTTTTTTATATTAATATATTCAGTAAAAAAAATTCAAATGTTAAAAAGTTACTTTTTGTATTTTTTTTTTTTTTGAAAAAAACGTGTAAAATGTAGAGAGAATGAATATTTGGGTCATGTTTAGTTTGGTTTTTAGAAATTTTTTTATATAAAAAAAAAACTAAAAGTTTATTTGTTGAAAGAAATTAAAAAACTTATCAATTTTATATTATTTCATCTTTTAGGAGGTCAAAAATAATTTTTAAAAGTTTAAATAATATTTTTGACATTTATTTTTATCAAACTAGTTTCTATTTTTCAAAAAAAATTCTAAAACACAAATCAAACGAGGCCCAAGGCACAATTTTTATAATTTTTAAATTTTTTTGAAAAATTTACAGTCAAGTCTTATTTTGACAAATAATGGCCTCGTTTGGGAAGTGGCTATTTTAGTAGGCTATTTTATTTTTTGGCTATTTTAGTAAGCTAAAATTTTTGTGTTTGGGAAGATAATTGGATTTTTTTGTGGTTGGATGTGATGTTTGTGAGAGAAAAAGTGAAATGATTATGGGTTTGATGTGATATTTTGTCTTATTAGCTATTTTAGCCTATTTTATCTTTTTGTGATTTTTAGCCTAAATTAGGCTATTTTTTTTCTTCCCAAACACCCCCATTTGGTAGCTTAGATCTTACTTACAATTTTAAACCCACAAGTCATCTGTTAATTTCATATGACCAATTTATCCTTATAAATTCAAAAACACAAAACACTCCATCTCTATTATTTTCTTTCTCTCTCTCTCTCTCTCTCCACAATTTTCAGAGCAACAAAGTTAGAAAGATCATCTACTATCATCGAACATCGATTCAGTTGGAACATTTTTAGATTAGAAGAAGCGAAATGGTGAAAACAAGCAAGACTCGTTGCAAGTGGTCTTCAAAGAGCTCTTGAAGATCACTTTTGTTAGGTCCCTGTGTTGTCAAATCCGGAGACAAAATCTTATGTTAGTTCAAAACTGTGTTTTTCTGTTTTTGTACTGTCCGCTCGAGCGGAGCCTCTTGAGCTCGAGCGTAGATTAGCAGGTCACAGTAGTTTGACAGGGCAAGCGATCTAATCACGAATCACTTAGATTTTCAACTTTGTTTCCTGATACCCTGAGGTTTGCAAAATTGTGATCAACAACGTTGTAAATCGGCTTAATGATTCATTCTCTTCTATAGATGCAAACCAAGGAGAGAAGATCTTAACAATTTCAAACATCGACGGTCTAGAAACGTTAATGAGTGCCATCATTACAGATCAAGAGAGACCTATTTCAATGCTCTGATGGAAGTGAATTTGACTTTTCAAATTTGAAGGAACGAAATGGTGAAAACAAGAACTATTCAAATATCTTAAACCTTAATTTTTGAGGAAATCTTTTAAATTCCGAAACTCTTGTTTTTTATTTTCATTTTAATTTCAACATTGACTTTGGCATTATCGTTGTGAGTCTTCTTAGATTTAGAATTCATGAGAATGAAATCACGTACCTCATGCTATGTTTTTTTTTTCCCCTCAGTTAGCGAAACAATTATTTGGAACATTGTTGTGCAAAATTGATAATGTTATTAATTTTATAATTGAAAAAAAAAATTGATAATATTCTCCGTTTTACTGGATAGTCGAATCAAACCAAAGAACAAAATAAAAGAGTTTGATACCCTTTGTTATTTTATTCTCTTGATAAAATTATAAATTATATTATGAGAGATAAGTAATACCATTAAATAAATAGATGAGATTAATGACATCTCTAATAGCATCCCGACCAAACCTTCAAATCTAGACAAGACAATTTTGTTTTTCGTTTTTTATTTTTATTTTTTTGTTTTATGAAAAAAGCTTAGGTACAATTTGACATTTCTATAATTTGCCAACCCTATTTGCTTCTCTCATACATATAAGATTTATATATGGCATTTTGTGAGCAAATAAAATAAATATATACCATTGCTCAATACAAGCATTTTGATGGTATGCATTATTAAAATATAACAATAGTTAGCTAGCTGTTTAACTATTTGAATCATTCTAGATTCTTAGCAATGAACAGTATCAAATGCAATATTTTAGCGAAGGATTACGGGGACGGGGGTGCAATATTTTTATGTGGGTCAATCGGCAAACAAAAGTTTAAAAAAATAGCAATGTTAGGTATTATGAAAAAATTTTCTTAAAAATAATTATAAAAGTTTTGTGACTCTTGGATTACACTTAGAATAAAGCACCACACACTAATCAAGGTAATCCAAAGATTATAAATTTTTCATAAACATTTTCATAAAAAAAATTTCATAATTCCTAACTTTTCTCTTAAAAAAATGCACGTAAACGAGACGTTTATAATTCCATTCACCTGCAGAGTTCAAATATTGGGCCCATTTGTACATTGACTAATTTGGCCCTCTCCACTTGTGTCATATATACATGCAAAGATAAATGATAGAGAAATTGTTAGACGGTGATATTGCTGAGGTAGTATCACTATTGCATTGAAGTCTTCTACCACACGGTGATGTTATACATTTGTATGCCTTTTAATTGAATTTAATGCACTACAAGAATTCACACTTTTGCCGACTAAAAATTTGGTCGGCAAAAGTTCATTTTTAGTCGGCAAAAGTTATCCGCGACTAATTTTTTTGGTCGCCAATTGAGGGTCGCGGAAAGTAATTAGCGACTAAACAAATTTTTAGTCGCGAAAAAGTTATATTTGCCGACTAAATTTTAGTCGCTAAATATATAATTACTGCGACTAAAGTGTTTTAGCTACTAAATGGATTAGTCGCCAATTCGCACATTCAACGACCAAATAGTTTGGTCGGCAATTGTCGCCCATTTCCACGACCAACTAATTTGGTCGCCAATTGTCACATTCTACGACCAAAAAATTTGGTCGGCAATACATTCCACGACCAAAAAGATTGGTCGGCAATATTAATATTCAAGAAATTACACTTTTGACGACTAAATATTTTGTCGGTAAAAGTCTATTTTTAGTCGGCAAAAGTCATTCGCAACTAATTTTTTTGGTCACCAATTGAGGGTCGGCAAAGGTAATTGGCGACCAAAACTTTTGTTAGTCAGGAAAAAGTTAGATTTGCCGACTAAATTTTTGGTCGCTAAATATATCATTACCGCGACTAATTCATTTAGTTGCTAAAACACTTTGGTCGCGAAAAGTAATATTTTCCCCACCAAATATGTTTGTCGCCAAAAGCAAAAAATCAGCAACCAACTATTTTCGTCGCCAAAAGGTAAGGAATTGCCGACCAATTATTTTAGTCGCAAAAGTGTAGAATTTGGCAACCAATTATTTAGTTGCCAAAACTTTTCTCAACCAAATATTTTGTCGCCAAAAGACATTAAACAATCAACGACTAATTAGTTAGTCGCCAAATCTCTTCCTTTATTTATTTATTTTTTTTGAACAATCAATTTTTGTTTATAAACATTCAATCCAATATTAAACAAAATTCATTCAACCCAACCTAAATATAACATTAAAATTCATCACATTTTCCTGCTCAATCCCAAACTTTACAATCATTCCATTCAAAACATTAATTGAGACAAGTTTTAAACATCCATCCATTGAAAACCAATAAGTAATTGAACAAAAATTAAAAGGAAAATCAATAAAGGAATCCAAAAAAAATTCTAAAACAGGAAGGAATATATAGGGTTTTGAAGCATCAGCCTTGTGCTTGATCGTTTTTGGAAGCCACTTACAAATAAAATAAGAAAAGTTAGAATTCATAAAAAAACATTTAACCATATGGCAAAAAATTGGAAAACAAAAAATTGAGATTCTGAGATGGCTCAGCCTGATTTGCTTTCTTTAAAAAATGCTATAGTTTACTAGAGTATATAGGCAACACTCAGAAGTACAATGGTTACAGTATTTTCATTTGTACTTCAGTTGAGACTTCGCTTTTCAGGTACAAGACAGCTTTCAAAACTTAGCTATTATAATGTAACAATAAGTAGAAAATGAACCAGGCATTTCACAGCAGGATCAGGTCTTCTGAAACTTTAGCAAGCAAGCATAAAAAAATAAAAAATCAAGTGAAATTTGTTGAAATTACACATTACCAACAAAAATGGATCTATTAAATTACAATTTTTACAAAATTACCAGTACTTGCGAGCTAGATCAATCTGAGTATGGAGATGATTGAGGTTTGTTCAAACATTTAATAACCATGAATTTTAGACTCAAGCGTGACCCATGAATACTACCAAGCTTTGCACTAAGCAAACCAAACTCGAGAAGTTGGACTCCTTTTTTATCTTAGCATACCATTTGAAAACATCACACCAACCCCGCAAAACAACAGATAATGTGTACATACCTTTAGAGATGATAAAGCGGCAAGAGTGGAAATCTCAAGTTCATGGTTTTTGACAGTCTCTGCAACTACATCGGTTCGGCAGAGTGCAAAAGCAGCTCGCCTGAAAAAAGAATAACATTTTGCCACTATTATTACGATATTCTAAAAAAGATTTCAGAATAATATTCTTAACCAGCTAGAAATTTTAAATATTGAGTTCTACTTGGGATCCTAATTCCTACCCATTCTCCCTGAATCACATGACGCAGTATTTGAATTTCAGAAAACCTAAACTAACTCTGCTATTTATATTTTAAACAAAATGAAGATACAGAACATATACAGCACTGACATAGCATCTATTATCAGAAATACAAAAGAGAATTATTAATATAAAACAAAGATACAACAAGAGAACAAGAAGTCCTCTACAATGAGACAAAACGCCTAGAAAAGGCAAAGGCAAAATAAGCCCTTAAATCACAAATCGCCATTTAATTCTTGTTACGCCATCCCTCTTTAGAAAAAAGCAAAGACCAAAAACAAGAACAACAATAATTCTGCATTCCACTTTGCATGATTAATCATTTATTGTCTATCGAACACGTAATTAGAAATGAAACAAATATTAAAATCTCTATTTAAAAAAACATGAATAAATAAAACAAGTTTGCACCATCATAACCAAAAGTTGATAAACAGATACAGTACAAATCAACACTATTTAGTTTATCCAATTAGTTCTTCACATAGAACAACCCAAACTGATGAATACTTGTATGTATTATGCATACCAGCTGCTGCCAATGCATAAAAATCGAGAAAGATTTTCTAGGAGAAAATTTAAAACCGTCCAAAAAGTATAAATCTCTTGCATGAAAGATTCATTTCTATAATTACAACATTAAATGCTTGTCATAACAATCCATGGAAAACAACTGTTGTGTACAACTAGAAGCAGTATAATAATCATACCCAACGCAATATGCATAACCATAGGCATTTCAGAAAATAATGATTGAAATATTTTGAATGAGGAATGAAAAAAAAAATAAAAATTAAAAAAAAAACTTAGATGCTTTAACAAAATAACTTATAAAAAAATGGTTTTAAAAAAAAATAAAAGAAGAAAAAAAAAACAGAAAAAAAGGTAACAAAACAGTATCATTAAAAGCTCTACCTTTCATGCCTTTACTTTGCAGGCATCAATGACCTGAGTGATTTAACCGCAGACTCAACCATATCCATCTCATACTCTATCCTACCATTGGTCCAACACTGCAAACAGTAGAACAAAAGTCAAACAGGAGCATTAATTGATGTTACTATTTAGTATTCAGAAAGCTTATTACCACCACTAATGATACACAATAAAAATAACAGCAACAGACCCATCATCCAGCCAGTCTTTCGTTTATAGGCCCAAACAAAGAAAGAAAGTGCAAATTAACATGTCAGCTAACAATCAACATGATTTTTCCAAATCGTTAGGACCACCACTCAATCAACTGTGTAGTGTAGAGTATATCTAGGAATAAACATTAAATTCAAATACACTGACCTAGGAAATTTGGCAACATTTGCCTCAATATAGGATAACTCAAAGTGAAAGTCTGCTCAGTGACTTCCATAAGAAAGCACATAACAACATTAAAAAATGAAAAGAATAAACCAAGTACTTGAAACACCAACCAACATTAAATCAAGTCGCACAAAAGCTTCTTCTATGCCAAAAATTACTACCTACTTTGCAGACATTTATATTTATTAAAATTGGCAGGGTAACCAACAAAAAATTCTAGCTCAAAGAACAAGATTCCAAAATAGGTATTGCTTATGGCATGGCTTGGCCCAACACAGCTTAATATTGACCTATATGCCATGACATCCCACTTCTCCACCTAGAAATAACCTAAAAAGCAACTCGAAATGCCACCAAAACAATGCAAGAAACAATAATATGGACACATCTTACAGTTTACAACACAAAAATGACCAGTTAGTGGCTACCTAATCAAATGAGTGAAAATGAACATTAACTAAGCACTTGTCCCCTTTTCACAATCAAAAAGTTAATTTATCAATAACTCATTCAACCGACCCACATAATATTTTGTAGTGCAAGAAGATCGAGCTAAAGATGCACCTTTAGGTTCTATCAAACGAAAAAGTAAATAAATTTCCAGTATTTTTATGGTTACTGGTATCTATAGACATAATTTGTGTATTGCCACTCTCGATGTCTTCCCAATTCAAAATGAAATCCCTTGTGCTTTGCATACTTGGAAAACAAAAAATGAAAATAGCTCAAGATAGATACAGTGTAAACACAGACCACAAATGGATGCTCAGTGTGTGGATCCCATGCTACAGTTTCAACATCTGCTGAAACTGACCACTTAAATCCTGTATGAGAAGGTATCCTTCCATCCTTCTGCAATCACATAAACATAAATTTAATCAAAATAATGTTGAGGCAAGGCAACTTAGCAAAGTGAATGCACGAGCGCGCACAAAAAAAAAAAAAAAAAAAAAGAAGCAAAATGCAGGAAAACAATAATTTTGAAGTTTATAATTAATAAACAGACCCGATAAAACATTTCCATTACCATCACTACTGTATGATCAAAGGATCCACTAAGTAGAACTTGTGGCACATGATGATTCCATGCGACGGCTTGAACCTGAAAACCAACTATAGCAAGGTCATAAAAATTATAAACAAATGAAGTTTTGCCACAGTAAAACAGATGACTTGAATCCTGAAAAAAAGAACTGTTAGCCTATAATTTGTGGATACAGATACAAGTGCCGAAATAGATACAAGGTGTCAGACTGTGAACACCTTCGAATTCCAAAACATATTTTTCTACATTCTCAACAGAAAGAATAAGGTAAAGCATTAAAAACTTAATCTTATTAAGAATGAAGGATGACATAACTTTTCTTTCAGTCACTCTTCAATTACAGATACAAGAGTTTTCCAAAACTAAGCACTACAATGCATTGAAATGCATAGTGGGGTTTAGCATAATAACCAAAACAATTAAACTAATCTAAAAACAACAAAAACCAAAACAGAATTTAACTGCAGACTTGAGACATAAGGTGGTTGCACGATTGTATTGTGAAAACAAGCAATTTAAATCAATAGATAACAGTCCAGATAGCTAACCTAACGCCACCCATTTGTTTAGAAATCCACCCTGCAACATTTAACTTTGCACCCATCCTTGCGGCTACAATATCATCACCACTGCCTCTTAATCGCTCCTGAAAATAAAACAACTCATGGAATAGATTAATTAATAATTAATAAAGTTCACTTTTGATGACAATTTGTTCAAAGACTACAAGACATATACCTCCGTTCTAGCCTTGCTTTGGGAAACAAACTGCTTAAACCACTTCTGGTCTTTAAATTGAACATCTTGAAGAATGCGGTTGACCTACAACCAACCAAAGGGATAACACAAATTTTTATCAAAAACATTAAAATGATTAGGCAATCAAAGTGATAGGCTAAATATAAGACACAAGTTGATACATTTATCACAATAAGGAAAAAAAATTCAGCATTTATATTTTCAACTGTACCTGGTTATTTTTCCCTTCAAGTTCCCAGCCTATACAAAGCTAATGAGGGAACCGACATTACCCTCAGATTCAATGTGCTCCACTTAAATAAATTTTCTTTTACTCCAGCTCTTGGAACATCCTACTTAATTAAAAGTTGCCCATGAATGAGAATTTTCTAACAGATCATATGATGAAAACCATTGGCCTAAGGTATAGTGACTCGAAACCTAACTATTTTTCTCTTCTCTCTCTTTTCTGTTATTTTCTTATTGGGTAATTTACAATTAAATTTTTGTTTTCTTACTCTACTCCATCTTCCCCTTTTGTCAATCTATATATAATAATCAACACTCCCATATTTTTATAAAATTTAATTTGAAATCCTTCCATTTGAAATGCATTAATCCAAGCAGAACCTTGGTTTCTCGTAGCATGCTACAATCACTCCACATAATGATTTGTGCCACATATACCGGGTTGGGGGGGACTTCAAACAATGTAAGCACAATATTTATCTTTCTCTTTTCTTTATGGATGACAGGTGCAGAAATAACTCCTTGTGCAACTATAAGATCTTTCTTGTAAACTTGGGAAACAAAGTCCAAATTCCTATAATGAAGGATATAGTATCTTCCATTGCATTTCACATCAAACAAATCAATTGAATGAACAAATTCAATTGAAAATATCTTCCAAATATGAACAAAAACGCCTAATGAATGAACAAATTCTCCTAACCCCATTGCATTTCACATCAACAAATCAATTGAAAGTATCTTCCAAATATCTTCCAGTACTAAGTGAAAATCAATTGAAAGTATCTTCCAAATATAGCCCCAAAAGCTTGATTATTCATAAATTGAAACCCTATGGCCAGTCGGCTCTTCAATTTGACTGATTAGAAGAGGATTTAAGTGTTTTGGATCTGAGATCATTTGCATTGAGTAGAGAGCCATGAATGAGAGTGCAAGGCTGTTCAAAAAAATAAAAATAAAAGAATAAAAGAATGAGATCGCAGGGAAGATGGTTTTCTTTGCCATAGTGGAGATAAACGAATGGCCATAGGGTTTAAGATCTGTTCGGATTATAAAACTACATCATTGTTGTTCCAAGGATACACAGTCACATAGAGATATAGAGGAACCAATTCAACCCAGTCGATAGAGAACCGACTGAGTGAGAGAGGAAAGAAGAGTCAAAAATAATCGTACTGTCTCGCCGCCGAACCAGTCTCGCCGCTGACTGAAACCCTTCCCCTTCAACCCCAATCTCTCTTCAAACCCTCTATCTTCTCTCTCTCAGAATAAGGTTTGCACACTGTTTTGAAAACAGTGTGTGAAATTAAGGGCTCTACAAACCTGAAAGAAATGAAAAAAAAAAGGGGGAAAAGAAAAGCAGAGGAAAAATATGGGGGAAATAAGTTTGGCGGGTCCGGTGAGGGTAAGTGGGGGGGGAAAAACAACGCGGGGGGGGGAAAAAAAAAAATTAGTTTTATTTTTTTCTTGAATGATTTTTTTTATTTGGTAGAAGTAGGGGTAATATTTTAATGAAAAATATTTTCCACTAAAATAAAAGTTAATTTTCTGTAGTCAATGAAAAATATTTTTCTGCGGCCTATTTTTTTTTTGTTACTAGAAATCATGAAATAATTTTTTGTAGTAAAGGAAAGGGAGCGGCAGTAGTGGTGAATGTAGTGGATAAGAGGTGAGGTGGCGGTGGTGGTGGTGGCGGCAGCGAAGGAGATTAGTGGTGAAGTTGTGGTCATGATTGAGGAGATAAAGTAGCGGTGGTGGAGGAGAGGTAATAGTAGTAGTAGTAGTGGTGGTAGCAGTGGTGGTAGTGGAGTGGTAGCGATGGTGGTAGTAATGGTAGTCGTAGAGATGGAGTGGCAACAGTGGTAATAATGGTGGTAGTGGAATGACATTTGCAGTAGTGGTGAAGGTGGTAGAGGAGATGGGTGGTAAGAAAGAGATGAGTGAGAGACAGATAGAGAAAAGAGATAGAGAAAGAGACAGAGTGATGAGTGAGAGAGAAAGAAAGAGAGAAAAAATGGTCGCTAAAAGTGCATTTTCTTGTAGTGGAGAGCTCGGTAAATAGAGAAGAGGGGAGGGAGAGAGTGAGCAAGATGAACACAATAAGGGAGAGAAAAAGACAGACACGGAGAGAGAAAGAAAGAGAGAAGAGTGATGACTGAGAGAGAGAAAGATATATATATATATATATAGAGAGAGAGATAGAGAGACAGACAGACAGAAAAAGAGAGAAAACAAGAGATGAGCGAGAGATAGACAGAGAGAGAGAGTAAGAGAGCAAGAGAGCAAAAAGAGATGATCGAGAGAAAGACATAGAAAAAGAGAGAGACAGAGAGAGAAGAAAGATAAGCGAGAGAGACAGAAACAGAGATAGAGAAAAGATAGATGAGCGAGAGAGATAGAGAAAGAAGAGAGATAAAGAGAGATAAAGTGAAGAGAGATGAGCAAGAGACAAATAGAGAAAGAGACAAAGACAGATAGACAAACAGACAGACAGAGAAGAGTGATGAGTGAAAGAGAGAAAGAGAAGAGAGAGAAAGAGATAGAGAGTGAGAGACAGAGAGAGAAGAGAGATGAACGAGAGAGACAGATAGAGAGATAGAGAGAAGAGAGATGAACGAGAGAGACAGAGAGAGAAGAGATATGAGAGATAGAGAGATGAGAGATGAGGAGAGAGATAGATAGAAAGAGAGGGATATTTATACCTCAAATTGTTTTTAGGGAGAGTTAAACATGCTCTAGAAAATTATTTTAGTTGCCAAAACTATCTATACCGCGACTAAAATATTTTTTAGTCGCTGAAATTAAATTTTTGCCGACCAAAATTTTGGTCGTGCAAAGATAAAAAGTGAATTTTTATTTTTCATTAATTTAGTCGCCAAAACTATCTATACCTCGACTAACATATTTTTTAGTTGCTAAAATTAAATTTTTGCCGACCAAACTTTTGTGGTAGAGGAGAGAGAGTGGCAGTAGTGGTGAAGGTGGTGGATAAGAGGTGATGGTGGTGGCAAAGGAGATTAGTGGTGAAGTTGTGGTAGTGGTAGAAGAGATGGAGTGGCGCCGGTAGAGGAGAGGTAATAATAGTAGTAGTGGTGGTACTAGTGGTGGTAGTGTTAGTGGAGTGATAACGACGGTGATAGTAATAGTAGTCGTAGAGGTGGAGTGGCAACAATGGTAATAATGCTGGTAGTGGAATGACATTTGCAGTAGTAGTGAATATAGTAGAGGAGATGGGCGGTGAGAGAGAGATGAGTGAGAGACAAATAGAGAAGAGAGATAGAGAGAGAGACAGAGTGATGAGCGAGAGAGACTAAAAGTGCATTTTCTTGTAGTGAAGAGCTCGGTAAATAGAGAAGAGGGGAGGGAGAGAGTGAGCAAGGTGAACACAATGGGGGGAGAGACAGACAAGTGGACAGACACACAGAGAGAAAGAGAGATAAAAGAGTGAGAGACAGCTAGACAGACATAGAGAGAGAAAGAGAGAGAGAAGAGTGATAAGTGAGAAAGAGACAAAAAGGAAAAGAGATAGAGAGAGAGAGAGGGACATAGAGAGAAAGAGATAGAGACAGAGATAGAGAGAAACAAAAGATGAGTGAGAGATAGACAAAGACAGAAAGAAAGAGAGTGAAAAGAGATGATCGAGAGAAAAACATAGAAAAAGAGAGAGATAGAGAGAGAAGAAAGATGAGCGAGAGAGACAGAGAGAGAGATAGAGAGAAGAGAGATGAGCGAGAGAGACATAGAGAGAAGAGAGATGAACGAGAGAGATAGAGAGAAGAGAGGTGAACGAGAGAAACAGAGAGAAAAGAGATGAGAGAAGAGATAGATAAGTGAGAGACATAGAGAGAGAGAGAGACAGACAGAGAAGAGTGATGAGTAAGAGAGAGAAAGACAAAAGAGAGTGGTGAGTGAGAGAGAGAGAGAAAGAGAGAGAGACAGACAGACAGATAGAGAAGAGTGATGAGTGAGAGAGAGAGAGAAAGAGAAGAGAGACAAAGACAGAGACACATAGAGAAAGAAAGAGACAGAAAGACAGAAAGAGAGAGAAAGAGTGATGGGTGAAAGATAAAAAATAAATTTTTATTTTACATTCAGCGACTAAATTATTTTAGTTGCCAAAACTATATATATAACGACCAAAATATTTTTTAATCGCTGAAATTAAATTTTTGCCGACCAAAATTTTGGTCGCCAAAGACAAAAAATAATTTGTTATTTTTCATTCAGCTACTAAATTATTTTAGTCGCCAAAACTATGTATACCGCGACCAAAATATTTTTTAGTCGCTAAAATTAAAATTTTGCCGACCAAACTTTTGGTCGCCAAAGATAAAAAATAACTTTTTATTTTTCATTCAGTGACTAAATTATTTTAGTCGCCAAAACTACCTATACCGCGACCAACATATTTTTTAGTCGCTGAAATTAAAATTTTGCCGACCAAACTTTTGGTCGCCAAAGATAAAAAATAAATTTTTATTTTTCATTCAATGACTAAATTATTTTAGTCGCCAAAACTATGTATACCACGACTAACATATTTTTTAGTCGCTGAAATTAAAATTTTGCCAACCAAACTTTTGGTCGCCAAAGATCAAAAATAAATTTTTATTTTTTCTTTCAGCGACTAAATTATTTTAGTCGCCAAAACTATCTATACCACGACTAACATATTTTTTAGTCGCTGAAATTAAAATTTTGCCGACCAAACTTTTGGTCGCCAAAGATAAAAAATAAATTTTTATTTTTCATTCAGCGACTAAATTATTTTAGTCGCCAAAACTATCTATACCGCGACTAACATATTTTTTTAGTCGCCAATTGTGGAAAATTTAGCGACTAAATTTTTTTTAGTCCCCATTTGTGAGATTTTTAGCGACTAAATTTTTTTTTAGTGGCCAAAAATTAATATACCCCGACTAAAAAAATTTAGTTGCTAAATATTGTACTTTTACTGACTAACATAATTTTTGGTCGCTAATTCCACAACTTTTGGCAACCAAAATATTTTTAGTCGGCAAAAGTGGTCGCCAAAGCTGTATTTTCTTGTAGTGATGGTAACTTTGTGCACAAATACAATTACGTGCATAAAAATAATATTGTCACATACCTGTTGGATTTATGAAAAGGTAAAATTTACTTAATATAAGATAGTTATATCTAATTCTGTAATTAATTTTTGCCTTTTTTTTTTTTTTGTTATGTTTAAGATAGGGTTAATTTTGGTGTTCTTAGACTTAAAAAAAAAAAATGATAATAAAATAAAACAACAAGAAGAAAAAGGGAAAATTGAATGATTTAGCTTGGCCTAATCTAATCTTGGCCCCAAGGCTAAGGCTTGTGAATGAGATATTGGTTACGATGTTAGAACATGTCTGGTTTCTCTTAACATGTTTATTGGTCAAAACTCAGGAAGCCTGATCTAAATCTTATATTTGGGAAATCAAATTGCGAGCTAGGTAGGCGTGACCTGACCGGTTGATGACCACTATAAAACCACATAGGGAGTAAATAGTTGTTTTTAAAAGTGAAGTAGGTAAAAAATTACCATAAGAAGTAAAATAAATTTTGCCTAAGATTTTATTAGAGGCAACTAATCTAAAATCAATTAGCAATATATGGAGGATCCTTTTTTTTTTATTTATTTATTTATTGATCAGCCAAAAAACTTCATTGATGAAAAACAAAATGTACAAACATAAGGATTACATCAACAAAGATGAAGGAGTGCAAAGAGCATCGCCATCCCAACTAAGTTGGCACCGCGAGGCCTAACCAATCATATGCTAGCACAGCCCCAAGTTGGTGAGAGACCAACCAGCAAACAGAACAACACCAAAAAAGCAGCAGCATAACAGAATTGCTCTACCTTAAGCCAACTGGGCTCATCCCAACTCAATGCATCATTGCTTCTCCAAAGCACAACCTGATCTGGCTTGTATTACAAATGAAATCATTGATTATGAAATTAAAATCCTTCAGGTGTGGATTCAACCACAGAGCAATCCTAGTCTTGATCAACTCACACAACTCAAACCAGTTTGGGTTAGCTGCTTTGAAAACACACTCATTTCTAAGTTTCCAAATTGACCACAACACATCCAATGGGACTAGCACTCCAAATCTTCCTTTCCAACCTCTTCATCTTCCCACCTGCCCACCACAACAACTAATCCACAGATCCTGGTAAAGCTCTTTGAGTCCCCCACCAATTCAGCAAATCAGCCCATACACTCCAAACAAGAGGACTGCATATTAAGACATGGTTCACATATTCAGTGGCAACCTTACAAAACACACAAAGAGAAGACCCAGTCGCTTGAGGAACACCAACTCTTTGTAAAAACTCAACTGTCTTGATTCTCTTCTTCCAAGCTAACCACCCAAACACTTAAACCTTAGGAGGGAGAAATTTTAGCCACACCAATTTACTATAATTCTGTGAGTTAGGCCTAAATTATGCACAACAAACTTATACATTGCAGCTATAGAGAACTGACCTGAATTAGATGCTGTCCAAACAGGTCTATCCCCCTAGTCAAGACTCACTGCAGGTCCTGCTACTAACTGGTTTAGGAGATTCTGTAGCTCCACCTCCTCTCACACATACAACACTCTTTTGAATGACAGATTCCAAACACCTACTGCATCTTTCCTATCATAGATATCTCTTAGAGTATCATTTTTCTCTAGAAATAGCCTATATAGGCTTGGAAACTCATCTTTCAAGCACAATTGCTGACACCATCTATCAATCCAAAAGCTAATCCTTCTACCATTCCCAACCTTCAATTGAAAATTGTTCAAAAAGGCCTCTTGAAGAGTGTTTCTCTGATCAACAATAGCCATGATTCCTTTCCATATAACTGAAGAGTTGCTGTTAGAAGTAAAGGATGGCAGCCAGCTATCAACCTTCAACTTATACCTGTTGTAGATAACCCTCTTCCACAAAGCTTCATTCTCACATCCAAACCTCCACCATCATTTCAGTAGTAAGCAAATATTAACCTCTCTCACATTTCTAATGCCCAATCCTCCTTGTTCTATACTTTCACACAAATCCTCTCATCTAACCATATGGTTTTTTCTCTTTAGTTCTGACCTACCCCACAAAAAAATAGCTTGCAACCTCTCAACTTCTTTGGCAACCCCTTCAGGCATCCTAAGCAGAGACAGATAATACACTAGTAGTGCAGATATCACAACTTTAACAAGTGTTAATCTCCCAACAAAAGACAGCAGCCTCATCTTCGAATTAGCCAGCCTACATCTGACTTTATCCAAGACAGGCTTCCAAGTAGCTTTCTTCCTTGGGTTAGCCCCTAGAGGTAACCCAAGGTAACTGAAAGGCAAGGACTTCACATTCCAATTCAAAACTGATGCAAAACAATCCATGGTACCATTTGAGACCCCTATCCCATGCACAATATTTTTATGATAATTAATTCTCAATCCAAACATTAACTCAAAGCATCTTAACACCCTTTTCAAATTCCTTACCTTTTTTACCTCTGCTACAGAAAATAATAGGGAATCATCTGCAAACTAAAGATGAGATAGTACAACACCATTTGAAACAACCTTGACCCCTTGGATCAGACCTAAATCCTGAGCTCTGGACAACAATATATGTAATGCTTCAGCAACTAAGTTAAACAAAAAAGGGGACAAAGGGTCTCCTTGCCGTAATCTCCTTTGTGGACTGAATTCCTCTGTTGGTGACCGAATAATAAGCACTGATATCCTCGCACATGTTAAACATTCCTTGATACACCTAGTCCATTTAACCCCAAACCCAAACCCAAACTTTGAAATCATAGAGAATAAAAAGCCCTAATTAATAGAATCATATGCCTTCTCAAAATCCAACTTAATAATATGACCCTTCCTCTTTTTCTTCTTCCAACCATCAACCACTTCATTAGCAATTAATACCCCATCTAAGATGTTCCTTCCACTTAGAAACACTGTCTATGTTTCACTAATCATATGTGATATCACTACATTCAACCTATGAGACAATAACTTTACTATGATCTTGTATATTGATCCCACCAGGCTTATAGGCCTATAATCATTTAACCCCTTAGGATTCTCCTTCTTAGGTACAAGGGTTATGAAGGAACTATTAATTCCTTTAACCAGCCTGCCATTCTTATGAAATTCAGTCACAAACTTCACTCCTCATCACTTTCCAAAATTTTTGAAAACACCCCATATTAAAGTCATCTGGCCCTAGTGCTTTATTTCCATCACAATCCATCACTGCAGCTTTGATCTTAGTTTTTGAAAACACTTCCAGCCTTTCAAAATCACAACTCCCTTGTACTGACTTAAAGGTTCCTTCTAATTCAAGTCTTCCACACCAGTCTTCAGAAAAATGACCCTTGAAGTGTTGAAACACTTTTCTCTTCACATGACTAGGATCCTCATATACCACCTCCCCCTTTGTAATAAAGTTTATTTCATTCCTTGATTGCCTACACTTTGTCATAACATGGAAGAATCTTGTATTCCTATCTCCCTTCAATGTCCAATTCATCCTTGACTTTTGTAACCAAATTCTCTCCACTATCTTGCTCAATCTCCACACCTCTGCTCTAGCCTCTCTCCTCGTTCTTATTTCTGCCTCATCAAGCTCTCTGTCCTCAACAACAAGCTCTAAATTGTGTAGATAAGCTTCTGATGCTTTCAGTTTATTGATGATATTCCCAAACACCTCCACATTCCATTTCTTAAGGCCAACCTTCAGGGGTTTTAATTTTTTTAGCAGAATATACCCAGCCGACCCCATTACAGTAGTCTCTTTCCAGCTACTCTCCCAGAATGACTGGAAATTTTTGTGTAAGAAATTTTTGTGGAGGATCCTTTAGCTTGTACGAAGCAAACTCGAATGAATTAGAAAAATATATAAATATTATAGATTAGTGAAAAAAATTATTAATTTAATTATTAATATTTATATGTTTGAACAATTACACTGAGCTGTAATTGTCCCTAAATAAATTGCTAAGGCGTTTGCCTTGTTAGACTTTGTTGCAACTTGATTATGCATTTGACATTTTAATTAAATTAATTAATTATTATAGGCCATCGATAATATTCTAAGAGTTAACAATGACATTTATATAATTAACCAAGCTCTCCTTCCTCCTCCACATCCATTACAACGTCAATGGCTAATAAGAAGACTCAGTAGCCTGGTTATGCTCAATGATCGTGATAATCGGCCCGGTCATTGTCATCCTATTTTTCTGCTTAATATGTTGGTACTATGGCACAAAGTTCCTACTCTTCCCCAACCGCCACCTCTACCATCATCGTCGTCATCGAGGAGGAGGAGGAGGACCCATTTTGACCTTGAAATGGCACGCAGGAGAAGGATAGAGATTGAGACTTCTTCCATTCGCATGGTTTCACAACCATATCTCATTATTGTTCTTCCTCCTTCATACAATTACACCAAAGACATTATTGGCTTGGTTTCTAAAACCCATGACCAAACTTGTACGGTCTGCTTGTTTGAGTTCCTCTATGGCAAACCGGTTCGGATCCTGCCTGAGTGCTTGCATTCGTTTCACGTACCCTGCATCGACATGTGACTCTACTCTCACTCAAATTGTCCCGTCTGCCGCACAAATGTAATTAGGGTGGTACAAAATACAGTCTAATTTGCACCAATCCTCCCACTAATGATGTGTTAGTTTGATCCGCGGTTTGATGTATAAAATCTATGTAAGAGGGGCTAATTTGAGCCCACTAAATTATTTAGGCCCAATAGCCCCGAATTTTTCAACTCCTTTCTCGAACCCTCTCCTACAATCTACTCTACTATAATTAATATATATATTTTTTTAACTCTAATAAAATATCAATGAAAAATTAGTTTGTGGGAATTTTAAGATATGAAATTTGTTATAAATTAGTATTATACATATGAAAAATATTATGTAAATTAGTGTTATATATTATGTAAATGTTTGATAATTGTTTAAGATTATTTTTCAATCAACTAACAAATTAAAATTACTCAAACAACGGTTTGATTATTTGTCAGTTCACTATTCACGGTTTGATTTATAATTTTATCTTCAAACCGTATCGAACCACACTATGCACACCTCTAAATGTAACACCCGATAAAAACAGTCTGATCCGATTAGTAGTTCGCTTTCAATATTACAAAAAAAATCATATTTAATATTTAATATAAATTTATCTGTCTCTTTTCTCTCATTTCTTTTTTAATTTATTTATTTCTCTCTTTTTCTAATATTTTGTTTTATTTTTTGTCTCACAATTGTAAACAATGTATAAACATTAGTAGAAAAAGCCGTGCAAGGCACGAACTATTAATTTATCTTTGGTATAGTTATTGTTGTTGGTCATATAGGCTAATTAAATGAAATAAATAGATTAAAAATTAATCAGTTAACTTACATAACATGAACCATAATTAACCGAAATACAAATGGAATTGAACTATTGAAAACAATGGAGCAAACCAAATTTTGTGTGATACCACAGTGTCCTTAAAATAGATTAGTCACCTCGCCGTGAGTGCTGGAGGAACGTCGACTTCTGTCTCCCAGGATAAGATGGCTTAAACCAACTAATTCAGAAGCACCTTCAGTTAGCTTTGGCAAATCAACAATGGCAGCACTCTCTTACACAGGAAGAAAATTGTAGACACAAGCAGACTGACTATATAATTTTGGAAGGAAAAAGTTGTATCTAAACCAAGGGAGATGAGTCTCCTTTTATACACCATAGGGGAGAGAGGAAAAGCCTCTAGCCATGAAGGCTATCATCTAATGCCCATGAAGGCTGGCCACTAATGGCCAATACTCTTGCAAAACTGCTGGAGTAATGGACCAAAATTGATGGGAAAAAATATCTGATATATATATTTTCTGTATACACAAGTGTGTATTTCTACCACAATCAATGTGGGATTGGTAGCTATACACAATTCCCAAAACCTCATTCAATTCTCAATGATTTTTGATCATTTTTTATGTGGTGTAAAGACCTTGTTACAAAGAATCTAAACCCATTTAATCCCACTTCAACCAATGGTTGGGACCTACTTTAATTTCACATTAAAGTTTACCAAAAATTCATTTTTTTCAACAATCCTCCACATGAATAAAAATTGACCGAATAAGAAAAATGAACAACGTTTACAACAAAGACTCGGAGAGAGAGCACACAGACTAACCCTGCATCAGTAGAAGTAGCTGTTGGCCTTGAACCTTTCGTAGTGAAAACCTATTGGATTTACTAGCTGACCAGTGAACGTGATATCTTGAACTGTTCTGTTGTTTGTGTAAACTGAGACAATAGACCTTACACAAGAGTTAGTCCAATCATTGTTCTTTTTCTCACTTGTGTGTCTGGTATGGCCCTGGAACACTAGCCTGGTTCAGTGAGTAGTTTTAAAGAATTTGACCTTACCAATTCTTAAAGAAGCGGCCCCATTTCACACTCACTTAGGTGACTTATATAAGGTATCTCATTATACCACGGTTGACTATCATATCACTTAAGTCATTAAAAGCATTAGCGTAACCTTTTACCTCTCTTAAGTATCACTGTACAAAGGAATGGGCAAGAGGATTTACCTTTTTAGTGACTCATCCATTACACGAAATTAGGTTGTCCCTTTGAACCTAATCTTGGGATCTCCAATCAACTAGGTTGGGTTTTCCGTTCCGGTAATATTACTAAAGGCCTTAACTCTATTCCTTTTAATGACATTTCTATTAACTCTCGAGTTAACCCTTTGGTTAGTGGATCCACAATGTTATCCTTAGACTTTACATAGTCTAGAGAGATAATTCCATTAGAGAGTAGTTGTCGTATGGAATTATGTCTACGACGGATATGTCTAGACTTTCCATTATACATATGACTCTGTGCCCGTCCAATCGTCGATTGGCTATCGCAATGAATACAGATAGCAGGCATAGGTTTCGGCCAACGTGAAATATCCTCAATGAACTGGCGAAGCCATTCAGCCTTTTCAGTTGTTTTATCCAACGCAATAAACTCAGATTCCATCATTGATCTCGATATACACGTTTGCTTGGAAGATTTCCAAGACACAGCTGCCCCTCCGAAGGTAAATACCTAACCACTAGTGGATTTGGAGTCTTTCATATCAGATATCTAGTTAGCGTCACTATACCCTTCTAATATCGTTGGGTATCTGGTATAATGCAGCCCATAATCCCGGGTGTAACATTGATAACCTAACACCCGCGTAATGCCTCTCCAATGAGTGGCATTAGGATTACTCGTGTATCTACTAAGCCTGCTAACAAAGTAGGCTATATCTGGCCTTGTACAACTCATCAAATACATCAAACTTCCAATGACTCGAGAATATTCTAGCTGAGAGACACTCTCACCATTATTCTTAGTCAAATGTAGACTCATGTCTACCGGTGTCCTAAACACACTTGTATCTGATTTACTAAATTTTTCAAGTACATTCTCAACATAGTGAGACTGAGAAAGTACAATACCACTAGATGTTCTGGTAATCTTAATACCTAGAATGACATCTGCAAGACCTATATCTTTCATATCAAACTTTGAGTTTAACAATCTCTTGGTAGTTCGAACCATTTCATCATTACTACTAACAATGAGTATGTCGTCTACGTATAGACACAAAATGACATAACCTCTGTCAGTGTCTGTAACATAAATGCACTTGTCACACTCATTGATTCTAAACCTATTTGATAACATAACATTGTCAAACTTCTCATGCCATTACTTAGGCGCTTGTTTCAAACCATATAATGACTTGACAAGCTTACAGACTTTCTTATTTTTTCCTAGAGTTAAAAACCCCTCGGGTTATTCCATGTAGATTTCTTTATCTAAATCTCCATAGAAAGCTGTCTTTACATCCATCTGATGTATCTCTATACCACGTAAAACGACTATCGCAATCATCATGCAAATGGATGTAATTCTTGTCACAGGTGAATATGTATCAAAGTAATCCAGGCCTTCTCGCTGTCTGTATCATTTGATAACTAATCTAGCTTTATATTTATCAATTGACATATCAGCCTTCATCTTTCTTCTAAAGATCCACTTACTCCCCAAGGCCTTACTGCCTGGGGGTAGATCAACCAACTTCCAAGTATGGTTCTGTAAGATGGAGTCAATTTCACTTTTAATAGCTTCTTTCCATAAAGGACTTTCTGGTGAAGTCACCGCTTCATGGAAAGTTTAAAGTTCTCCCTCTAACATATAAGTCAAGAAGTCCGGGCCAAAGGACTTGGTAGTCCTAGCCCTCTTACTCCTTCTCAGCTCATCCACTTCCTTATCTTTATGTCACGACCCAAACCCGCCCCTGTAGGTTTAGCACCGTAACCGGCCAGTAATCCGTGGATTACCAAAGGCCTCTGAACAGATTAGCAAATAATAAGGGGCTGCAGAAGCAATAATACAAAATAGACAAGGTCCAATGAGCTGTGATAACGTACATGGGACAGAACATTTCAAAACTTATTTATACATACTTAAACATGCCAGTCTAGATACACAATATTTACAAGGTATTTACAGAATGTACTTCCCAAGACCTGGCTTTACAGAGCATACACAAAGACTAGGATGAATACAAAAACAACCATGGCATTAGGCTTCGTTTGGAACCTCCTCGGGAGGCACAACAGTTGGCTGACAAAAATAGAACAGAAGGCCGTCAACTCTAGCCCTGGTCATGTGCCGGCTCACCTACATACATAATATAAACTGTGAGCGAAAGCC